CCGCGGCCGACGCTGGTGGGTCGTCCAGCCCACCCCTCCCGTGCCCCCATCCTCAGCCCCTCACCGCCACCCGACTCTTGCCCTTGCCCTCTCGGCGTCCGGAACCCCGAAGCAACCCACCACTACCCACAGGCGGCTCCAGCTGCTCCTCGCGCGTCGAGTGCGGTCTCACCGCCGAGCGGCTGCTGCTGACGCCACACGACCGATACGTCCTCGTCTCGGCCGTGCTACGCCTGCCGCCACCCTCCTCCACCGGCCTCGCCCCCGGCTGGCCAATAGCATTGCGTGTGCAACATCTGCATTTGGCCGGCGGCGCCACTGCTCCGGGCGGCTTCGCTGCACCGCTGCTTGGGCTGCAGGAGCCGCGTCCAACGCCCGCTCCGCCGCCGCCCGCTTGTCTTCGCCTCCTCTCCACTTTCCCGTCTCCCTCCTTCGGCGCTCCCTCGACGCACCACCAGCTCTTGCACCTTCGCTCTGGGACTGCAGGTGTCTCGGCCGGGCTTGCCGAGCGGCCGACAGGTGCTGACCACGTTCCTGTTGCGACTCGCCATCGGAGGCGCACTCCCCCCCATCGCGCGCAACGACGGCCCCGAGCCGTGCCCCTCCCGCCGTCCGCCAAGCGTCGCGAGCTTTTGTGTCTGCCTTGTGTAGTGTGGCTGCTGCTCCTCGCCGCAACGCTGTTTGGCCTCTACCGCGGTAGTCAGCCCTCTTCCACCGCACCGGCTGTCTGTGCCGACGGCGAACTGGTGCAGGCTTGCGCAGTCCCCGATTCCTGCACCGCCCCTCTCCACTCACTCGCTCACACGCCTGGTCGCCTTCGCCCCTGTGTCCTTCGCCGACGCCGCCAGCACTTCGTGAGGAGGGGGCCACGGGTGGGGCAGGCGATGGATGGTCGCGGAGGGAGGAGGCCCTTCCCTGCGAGCAGGTTGGCTCGCGGGTGCAGACCGAGTGGACCGTCGAGGAGGGCGGCGACGGCCAGTGGTACGCCGGCACCGTCGTCGCCCTCTACCCCGGAGGAGGCGCCGCAGTCGAGCACGACGATGGTGAGCTATGGACCGGCGCGCGGCTCCACCGCCATTATCCGCCGCCCACAACATCTCGCCACCGTCCCCGACATGCCCGCGAGCGTCACCTCACAATCACCGCCGCCACCACCCTTAGCTCCGAGACCACTAACTACAGCAACAGCGCCCATCGCCGCCACCACGGTGTGTGTGCTGACCGGGGGTGGCCGCCTCCCTCATCCGACGGCGCAGGCAGCCTCTCGAGCGTGTACACTCTGCGTGGGGAGAGCGACGACGAGGAGCGCGGCTTGGGCGGGCTCCGAGGGCTACCTGTCGCCGCGCCGGTGGCGGCGCACGGGGGAGGTGCGGGAGCGTACCCCGGTGTGCAGGTTGCCGTGCCGGTAGCCCAAATCCCGACGACGGTGGGCGTGCCGGTCGCGGCTGCGTCTCGCTGTGGGCTGCCGCAGGCGGTGGCGCGGCCGGTGTGAAAAGAAAGTGGACGGGCGCAACGCAAAAGTGCGGCGTGTGGAGAGCGATAGTGGATGTAGGGCTCATGGGGGCGTCGACGTGTAGGCTTGACGTGATGGCTTAAAAGAAAAAAGCCGCGAGGTTCATCATGCCAACAACCTCCGTGCACTGACGGTCGGCCGTCAGAAAACACGCCTGCGTGGATCGCGTCACACCAAGTTGGTACTCGAGCAGCGCCGACGGAGGTCAGCGCCGCCGCGAAGTAATGAACAACATGCAGACGAGGCGGAGCTGATATGGTAGCCGACTTTCTCTCTCCCCGTCCACCGAAGGGGAGTTGGGAGAGAGAGAGATTTTTAGCAATACCAAACAACTCTAACACTCACACGTCATTTGGGGCCTGGAGCCCTGTTCACGCGCGCGCGAGACGTGCAGACAGGGTTGCCAGGTGAGAGCGAATGGCGCGGTCCACGCCTCGCACAACAGAGAGAGAGATGCGCTCTGCATGGTGGGACATAAAAGAAAGCGAGTACTTGGGCGAGTAGGCCGTGCGGTCGACGCTGCCGCGCGCGGCTTTGCGCGCGAGGCGGCGCAGCTTGAGAACGGCGGTGGGCGAGAAGCCGCCGCCGAACGTCTCGTGGAGCAGCAGGTTGAAGTTGTTGCGCTTGACAAAGATCGCGTCGTGGTAGAAACCGCGATGCGCCTTGACGTAGCCGTGGCCGTTCTTGTGGTCGAAGGGTTGGCCGGGTTGCCCGCGCGCCTTGCAGCCCATGTTTAGGCGGCGGGCCTTCTCTTCGGTGTTGCCGAAGGCGTAGGAGTGGCCAACGGAGGCGGGCGTGCCGCCGCTCGAGGCGTTGCCAACGCCCGCCGAGGAGGTCTTGAGGAGGGGCGTCCAGAGCTTGACTTCATTCACCTCATCGCATCCTCCCGGGCCAGCGTGGGGTTCCGCGAGGTCGACCTTGTACCCCTCGTTGTACTGCCGGGTGAGCTCTGGTTTCTCCTTGTCACCGTGCACGACCGGCGCGTTGGCCGGGGCGCGCATCGCGTCCGCCCAGGCGGCGAGGACGCCGTCGTGGGGCCGCCGGTGGTGGGCCTTGTTGTAAAGGTAGTCGCCGAAGAAATCGACTGGCATGCCCCGCTCGAGCGCGACCCGAAGGGTGGGAAGCGCCACGGAGAGCCAAAGGCCGAGCTTCCGCTGGAGCTCGTCCTGGAGGGCGTCGGAGGAGAGGGCGGTGGCGTACGTGCCGTCGACACGGACATCGAGGGCTTTGCCGGCGAAAGGCGTTGAGGCGGAGACGAAGCGCGAGGCTTCGCGGTTGTTGACGGCGCTGTCTCCGAGGGACGGGTTGTTCTTGACGTGCACGTCCCGCGCCTTGACGAGCTCCTGGTGCGCGAACCAGTCCTTGTATTCTTGATGGCAGCGAGCACCGCGGCGGCGCGCACCCGGATTTGTTTTGTTGGAGTTGGAGTCCTGATCTACTCCCAGAACCACCAGCCCGACGGGGGGCTCACTACCGCCGAAGTGACAAGCCGAACAAGCCGAACTGTGCTCTGCGACGCACGCAGATGCTGACTTCAGTATTTGCCTTTAACCACCACGCCAGACTGCCGCGCCCCGCTCACGGCGAACGAGGTGTACACAGTGCAGTGCTTTTGCCGCGTTCGTCGCGGCCGGCGATGGCGGTCGATGGCTTTGACGCCGCCTCTTTTGAGACGGACCGATTGGCCAAGGATGCAGACGCGATGGAGGCCATGGCGGCTGAGGAGGCCACGTTCGCAAAGCTGCGGACGCCGTGGAAGTGGGCGGTCCGCAGGAGGATCTGGGACATGATGGAGGCCGAGGACTATGCCGAGTGGCCTCGGCCGGTTCACCACCGCATCCCCAACTTTGTTGGCGCGGAGGCGGCGGCCATGAGGCTGGCCGATCTGCCGGAGTTCCAGAGCGCAAGCTTGGTCAAGGTGAACCCGGACACGCCTCAGCGGCCTGTGCGCCGCCTCGTGCTCTCGGAGGGCAAGACCCTGCTCACGCCGCAGCCGCGGCTGCGCACCGGCTTCTTCTCGACGCTCAGCGTGGACGAGAACCTCGAGCCGGGCATGCGGGTGGATCAGCTGACCAACTCCAAGGGCGTGGCGCAGCACGGCACGCAGGTGACGCTCGATGCGCAGTACACAGTCGACTTGGTCGTGGTCGGCTCGACGGCGGTGTGCCCGGCCACCGGCGCTCGAGTCGGCAAGGGCGAGGGCTTTGCGGAGCTGGAGTGGGGCATCCTCTCGGGGCAGGGCAACCTCGACCCGCAGACCACGCTCGTCGTGACGACCGTGCACGACTGCCAGGTGGTGAGCGACATGCCGGCAGGCCAGCTGACCAAGCACGACGTCCCCGTCGACGTCATCGTGACGCCCACCCGCGTGCTGCGTGTGGGCCAGGGGCGCGCGCCCAAGCCGAGCGGCGTGATGTGGGACCTCCTCTCGCCGCAGAAGCTCTCGCAGATCAAGGCGCGCGCTTTCGAGGCTCCTCCCGTCCGCATCGCATGTGTGCACGACAGTCTCCAATGCACGTCCACGACACGTCCACGACAGGTGCTGCGCGACCTGAAGCGGCGCATCGAGGGGGAGACGGGGATGCCACTGCCTCAGGGGCCGGACGAGACGCTGCCGCCCACAGCTGGCCGGCAGGGCAGGTCCGGGGGCGGGCGAGGGCGCGGCCGCGGTGGCAGAGGCGCACCCCGCCGCGCCAACGTCGCGCTCGCGCTGAGCGAGGAGGAGAGGCGGCGAGCCTAGGTCGTGACTCGCGCTCCTGCACTACTAGGGCTACATATACTAGGGCTACACATTCACCGGTACTAGGGCTACACACTCCCATCGCATCCAGCGTGTGCATTTCGGGGGGGGCGATTGCTCACCCGCGCCCGGGCCGCTCTGCATGCCATGGGGCTTCTGTCTCACAGATTGTGTGGTGGAGAGATAACATCCATGCCCATGTGACTCGTCTGACCTCACCCGCAGGCAGCAGGCCTACGAGGAGGCGTGCCGGCGCGCAGAGGCGCTCGCGGCCGAAGCTAAGGCGGAGAAGGAGCGCGAGCGCAAGCAGGCGGTCCCTCTCGACGTGCAGGCCTGCCTCTCGGACCAAAGCTCTCAGGCTCCCACGCTCGGCCCCTTCTCGGCTGCGTTCCGAGGCCGCCCCTCCCTGGGTTGCGCAGGCCGGCAATTGGCTCGCCGGACTGGTGAAGCCGAAGGTGACACCACCGGAAGAACCGGCAGCCGCCGCGACGGACGGCTTCGGCGCCTCCTTCAAACAAGCGGCCGCAGGCTGGACGGCGCAGGTGGAGCGGCAGAGGCGCATGAATCGAGGAGAGGCGCTGCAGCCGGCCGACGCGGGCGGGCGGGCGGACTCCGCGGCGGAGGGGGGGGAGGGCGCGTCGGACGAGGCTCAGCGACGAATCAGCGCGCTCGAGGCCGAGATCAACGCTCTCAAGCGGCAGCAGCGCATCGAGACCATCGAGGCGGAGATCAGCGCGATGAAGCGGGATGCGGATGGAGCTGGGAGCGGATGATAGAAGCCGCTGAACATGAATCGACGCCCTGTGTTCCTTCTACTTCTATGTAGAGCGCACGCGGACGCAACATGCGCATGCACGCACGATCGGATTTGGAACGGGCGGCAGCCGCCGATATCGATTGCCGATGAGTTTTTCGTATGGAACCCTCTAGCTATCAAGTTACTGAGGTGTGAAAATACAACGTTTCACTTTCACGCTGCACCTTTTGGGACCCGGAGTCCCCCGTGAGCAGTGTTTTCTGGGTGATCACATTCCTATATAGAATATAGTAGGTGGCTGCTCGGTGCTCGCGAATTTACGGTCGCGCGGGCGGCCTGGCGCAAACCGGCGCGCCGCTCCGCGTGCGTGTGTATATTTCAACACACCGTACAACTAACTCGACAGAGTGAAAAAAGCGACGCAGGCGGCACACACACACACACAGGGCTATAGTCCGGTGTATGTTACCGTGCCCCGCCGGCGACGCCGCCGCCCAACCCCAACTCCTGCTCGAGCCCACGCGCCTGCGCCTCGGACATCTGCTTCGCGGTAGTCGAGGACGCGTTCATGCCCCCGGGCTTCGGCGGCGCGCTATTCGACTGCGGCCGCATCGGCTGCCCCGCCCCGGCGATGTGGGTGTTTCCGCCGCCGCCACCGCCGCCGCCGCCGCCGCCAGCGCCCGGCGCCCTGGCGCGCGCGGCGCCCCCTAGCGGGGCGGGCGAAGCGGACGGCGTGGACGCGACCGACGGCATTGAGCTCAAGCAGTCCGACGAGCCGTTGACGCCCTTGAGCTTCCCGAGCTCGTTCTTTGTCCCTAGCCCGCACGAGATCTGGTCCATGAGCTGCGCCTCCTTGGCCCTCGCGCTCTCGGCCGCGGCCTTGGTCTGCTCGTCATGGTTCTTTGACGGCCGGCGCACCACCGGCGCGGGCTGCTTCGGGGGCTTCTCCGCCCCGCTAGCCGGGGCTGGATGCGCGCCGGCGGCACTGGAGGCACCTGCAGCACTTGCTGATGCCCCCCCGCCCTTAGGCGGGCCCCCGCCCCCAGCCGCGCCTCCCGCCCCTCTCCCACCCGCAGCGACGCCCGCCCCGGCGCCTCCTGCCGCAACCCCACCGGCTACCCCCCTACCTGCCGCGGCGCCCTGGCCCGTGGCCAGCCCCCGGCCCGCCGCGCCACTCGCAGCCCCTGTCGCCGCAGTGGGGGTGACCGCCGGCGCCGTCCCGGCGGCCGCTGCACCCCGCGCGCTCGCTTGCGGCGGCGAGTCCGCCTTGCACGATGCCGGCTGGGACGGCTGCTGTGGCGGCCGCTGCGTCGGTGCCGGCTTCTGTTGTGGAACCGATGGAACCGGCGGCTGGCTCGGCGGAGGCGCCATCGCCTGTTGCGACGCTGCCGGCGGCGGCGCCAACGCTTGCGGTGGCGCCGCCTGCTGCACGTACTGCGGCTGCGTCTGCGTCTGCGTCTGCGGCGGCTGCGTCTGCGACGGCTGCGTCTGCTGTGGCGGCTGCTGTGGCTGCGTCTGCTGCGTCTGCTGCTGTGGCTGCGTCTGCTGCGGCGGCTGCTGTGGCTGCGTCTGCTGCGTCTGCTGCTGCGGCGGCTGCTGCGGCGGCTGCGTCGTCGGCAACGGCTGCTGTTGCTGTGGCAGCGGCGGCTGCTGGCTGGTCGGCGGCGGCGGCTGGTGCTGTTGTGGGTGCTGAGGGATTACCTGGGGTAGCGGCTGGCCGTGCGCGGGTGGCATCGCCTGCTGCTGCTGCTGCTGCTGCACATACTGCACTGGTTGCTGCGGCTGCCCCTGTCCCTGTTGCTGCGGGGGCCCCTGTTGCTGCGGCGGCCCCTGTCCCTGCCCCTGCTGCTGCGGCTGCCCCTGTCCCTGCTGCTGCAGCGCCTGCACCCGCTCGAGGTCGGGCCACTGCTGCGGGTGCGGCACCGCCTGCGGCGCGGCCATGTGCTGCGGCATCACCATCGGCGCCTGAGAGGGAGCGATGGGGCGAGGCGTCAGCCTCGCGGGAGGGGAGGGGGGGGGGGGGGGCGTGTTGCCCCTGCTGGCCCCCCGGCTGGCCTCCCGGCTGGCCTCCCGTCGGCATCGGCACGTACTGCACGGCGCCCCCGCCCTGCATGTGCTGCGGCGTCATCATCGCTTGCTGTTGCTGCGGGGGCATGGGCTGCCCCGGCTGGGGCACCTGCTGCCCCGGGTGCATGTCGCCCTGCCACTGCTGATGCTGGACCGCGGGCGGCTGCATGTACCCGCCCTGCATGCCGCCGCCTTGCCACTGCTGCTGCTGCGGCTGCTCGCCCTGCCATTGCTGAGCCTGGGGCTGAGGCGGCAGCTGAGGCTGCCCCTGCCACTGCTGCTGTTGAGCCGCCGCGGCGCGCTGGCCCTCCTCCCACTCCGCCCGCTTTTGGTCCTGCTTCTCCTTGGCACGGCGCTCCTTGATCATCTTTTTCATCCGATCATTCTGCTGCGCGTGCTTCGCCAACATCCGCTCCATCTCCTTCTTCTGCTGCTCTTCGATGGAGCGCATCAGCTCGAGGTCTTCCTCGTCACCGTCGTCGCCCTCGTCCTCGCCCGGCGAAGGCGCCATCCCTATCGACATCTGGCTGCCTTGCATCGAAAGTCCGCCTTGCGGCGGCAACGACGTCATCGAGCTGCTGCCGTCAATGTGGTGCGGCGGCGGCTGCTGCCCGCCAGGGTAGCCGGCGGTGGCTTGCGCGTAGGCTGCCTGCATAGCGGCGCCCGGCGCCGTTGCCGCGCGCGTCATGCCCCCCTCCGGGGGGTGCTGCATCGTTGGCGGCTGCATCTGCACCGGCGGCGGCGGGCCCATCGGCTGCTGTGGGGGCATCTGCGGCTGCCGTCCGTTGGGCAGCATGGCCGGCGCGCCGGGCATCGCCTGGCCACAGGCCCCGGTGGGCTGAGAGGCGGCCGGCGCCAGCGGGTAGGCGTGGCCCATCGCGGCTTGCTCCGTGATGGAGGACACCGACGCAGCTGGCGAAATGGCGTTGACGTCCGCCTCAGACGAGCCCGAGTGCGCCTTGGGCGGCTCGGGTGGCAGCGGCAGCGACGCCGAGTCGGACGCATAGCCCGAAATGTCGAAAGTGCCGGGATGGTGCCGCCGGGAGATGGCGGCCGAGTCGGAGGCGTAGCCGACTGCGACATCCTGCCGCGCCTCCGGCGGCGAGTTTGCGCGGGTCACTGGCACCGAGCCGCTAAGCAGCTGGGCGCGGCGTTGGTTGAGGAGGTCGTTGACCTGGGAGATGATGTCCTCCCGAGTGCCGTCCGACCGGTCGAGCTCGAGCTCCTCCACCATCTCGTCGGCGACCGCCTCGGCCGTGTCGTTGACGGGGTCCATCTGGAAGGTGACCGTCTTGGTCTCGCCGTCGAGCATCACAGAGCACGTCAGCTCAATCTCGTTGGACGTGCTCGGCTCGTGCGTCAGGTCAATCGAGTGGCGGCTGCCGCCCGCGTGCGACGCCGGCTGTGAGCGCGCGCTCGCCAGGGGCGCCGCCGGCGCCTTGTCCACGTCCTGGCCCGACGGCGAGCCAGGGGGCGCGGCGGCGGCGGCGGGCCCCGCGGGCGCAGCGGGCGCAGCGGGCGCAGCGGGCGCGGCGGGCGCGGCGGGCTGGGGCGCTGGGGCGCTCCCGCCGGCCCCGGTCGGCGCGCCGGCGCCCGATTCGGCGGCGTGTGGAGGCTGTTCTTGCGGTGGCGCAGCGGCGGACGCCGGCGCGGCCTTCGCCGGCACGGCCGTTGGCGGCTCGGACGACGGCGCGGCGGCCGCGCCCTGCGCAGGCGGCGGCGCGGCCTCGCTCTCGGCGCTGAGGAGCGACACCGGCTTGTCGTCGTCCGATCCCGCGCCGCCAAAGGGCATGCGCAGCCACTCGTGCTCGAGGAGCTCTGCCGCCGCGGGCCGCTGCTTGTGGTCGTGCATGAGGCACAGGTCGATGAAGGCGCGCGTCTGCTCGTCGCGAATCTTGTCGAGCGCGCCCGGCTTCGTGCCCTGCGTCACCTTGCGGTAGATCTGCGCCGCGTTGTTGCACTCCGAGTACGGGTACTCGGACGTCACCATCTCGAGCACCGACATGCCGAACGCGTAAATGTCCACCTTCTCGTTGTACTCCTCGTCGTACAGCTCCGGGGCCATGAACTCGGGCGTGCCGAGCACCGACTGCGCGGGCGCGTCCCGCATCAGCGTCGAGAGGCCGAGGTCGCCAATCTTGATCTCCGAGTTGTTGCCGTTGATGAAGATGTTGTCGCACTTGAGGTCCCGGTGGATAATTTGGTTCGAGTGCAGGTACGTCATCCCCTCGAGGATCTGCCGGCACCTACGAATGCGCAGCGCGGAGGCTGGGACGGCCGCGCTGGGCGGCCGCATCGCCAGCGCGCGGCGCACCACTTCTTGACCACCTTGCGCTTCACCCGCTTGGCCTTGGCGATGTACCTGCGCCGGAAGGGGGGAGGTGAGGCGGGGCGAGCGGGCCGACCTGCAGGTCCGGGCGGCGCGGCGCGCGCACTGCTTGAGCGTGCCCGACGTCATGATTTCGGTGATGAAGACGAGGTGCTTTGCCTTGTCCGACATGTCGTTGAAGTAGGTGTAGAACTGGAGGATGTGCTTGTGGTTGAGGCCCTTGAGGATCTCCACCTCTTTGTAGATCTGCGCGACGACGGCCTCGTCCGCGCGGTCGAGCATCACCTGGCACCACGCCACCTCGATGCCCTGCGCGCGCGTGGGAGCCAGTCTCTGAGCCGTCTGGCGGCGCCGGCAGGCGGGGGGAGAATACACAGGGGCTGGTGTGCGCGGCCGCGTCGCCCCCCCCCCCCCCCCCGCGAACAGCGGCCAGCACCGCGCCAGCCTCCAGGCCGCAGAGCAGCCACGGCGGCATATCCCGACCCGCCCGGAGCGGCAAGGCCAGTCAAGGCCAGGGCGCAGGGAGGGTGCGGCGCCTCCTCCTCATCGTACGCCTTGTACACGGACTTGAAGGCGCCGACACCCAGCGTCTGGCGGAACTGCGCGCGCGGCAGCACAGGTGGAAGCAAGTGAGGGCCGGGATCCCGGGGGCGGGAGGGCAGCAGGGCCAGCGCGGGATGGAGAGTTAAGCGCAGGCGCTCCGAGCCCGCGCGCGAGGTCCGCCGCGCGCTGGCAAAAGTGGCGGCAGACGCACCCGCACGTAGCGGCCGTCCGGAGACCGCTCGACGATTTCGTCGGCGTCCGCGCCGGGCGCCGACATCTCCCGGGCTCCAGCCGCGCCGGCAAGCGCGCGGCCAAGCCCCCACAAACACTGGCTCGGCAGGGTGCGTAAACTCAACGGTATTTTTTTTGCCAGATGTCTTTCTTTAATACAAACCCTTGCAGGAGAGGGTCGTTGACCTGGCGATGGACGCTTCAAAGAAGTTTACCGCACGCCATTGCGGTCACCGCCATCCTTCCTGCGACCAGACACCCCGTGCTGCTCAGATACTACCTACATGTAATCAGCACATGCATGAACAAGACCTACCTCCAGATGGCCTCCGTCACCAGCACAACAGAATTTCGCCGCCCGAGGCAAGACAGAGCATGCCTGCTCGACTCGACTCTCCACTGACCGATGACATAGCCTCTGTGTCCCCCCCTTCGGGCCCGCGAACTTTTGGGTTTTGGTACCGAGACGGCTCTACACGTTCTTTCTTCTATTACTGACTTGCTACGATGACTCTACTGTGTACACTGAGCAAAAATCTCGTCTCCGATTCGTCTCTGTTTTTAGCAGGGGTTGAAAAATCTAGAACAGAACACACTCCGTTATCATGCACATGCACATATTCACGCGTACTTTACGTTACACTGTCACATCACTGTTGCCGACGCGGTGCGCTAGTGAGGCTCCCCCGGCCAAACGCCGAACGCCTCTGCTGTGTGCACCAGCGCAGCGGCCCTGCAGCGCTGCGTGGCGTCGAGGATGCTCGCCGGCCAGCCCAGCTCGCCTAGCTGGTCGTCCGCCGCAGCAAGGCCGAGCGCGGTGAACGCGGCGCCGCTCGGCAGCACCGGGGCGCCGCAAAAGAGCGCGCAATACATCTCGGCAATCGAGCGCTGCTGGCCAGCAAAGACGAGCAACGCGCCGTCGTCCGCCAGCCGGCGCTCAATCTCGGCGCGGCCGCCGCCCGCGGGTTGCGCGTCGGCGGCCGCGCGCCGCAGCTCGCGCCGCAGCTCTGCGCGCAGAGCATCGTCCGAAGGCGACGGCGTCACGCCCGCGCTCGCCTGCAACAGCGTGTCGTGCACATGTTGTCACAGACAGGATAGCCTCTCACCCTCACGGCCTCTACGGCGCGCCTTTTGATCGCGCGCCGCCGCAGGGTCGAGCGGCCTACAGCCGACGCGCCGCGCCCTGCGCCTCTCGTCCAACGCCCTCCCCAGCCGGTGACGAGTGGGACGCGGCAGGGGGGGCCAAGAGGTGAAGATGCGTACAGGAGGTGTGAAGAGGCGTACAGTAGGCGTGAAGCGGCGTAGGCGTGAAGCGGCGTAGGCGTGAAGCGGCGTAGTGAGTGGGGGCGCGTAGGCGTGAAGCGGCGTAGGCGTGAAGCGGCGTAGTGAGTGGGGGCGCGTAGGCGTGAAGCGGCGTAGGCGTGAAGCGGTGTAGTGAGTGGGGGGCGCGTAGGCGTGAAGCGGCGTAGGCGTGAAGCGGCGTAGTGAGTGGGGGCGCGTAGGCGTGAAGCGGCGTAGGCGTGAAGCGGTGTAGTGAGTGGGGGGCGCGTAGGCGTGCATAGGCCAGCGGCGAGTATGAGGCGGCGCACTTGTCGTAAAAGTAGAGCCAATTGGAAGAGAAACCGCTGCGCGGCGCGAAGCGCGTCGTCGGCACCGCATTGCGCAGGTAAAAGTACAGCGCCATGTCGGCGTATGTCGAGCGGAGGAGCCCGTCGCTCGCGCGCGCGAAGAAGGGGCGGAGAGCGTCGAGCCGCACCTGTGCAGGGCAGGAGGGCGTGAACGACCCCTGCACACATAACACCGCGGGACCGACGCTGCGAGCCGCACGGCAAAGTTCCAGTACTCCTCCCACGAGCCGCCGTGACCAGCGGCCGCCTCCTAGCGTGGCGTGCGTGCTGGTCAGAGTTGGCGTTTGCGTCAGAGGCAGGGGCAAGGGCAGGGTGCGAGCCGCCTGGCGTGGCGTGCGCACGGCCCGTCCCGCCGCGACCAGAGCGTCCACCCCGGCGGCGGAGGCGACCCCCTCCTCCCGCCCGACCGGCCGGGCTATCCAGGCCGCAGAGACTGCCCTCGCAGCGGCGGGCGCCGCCGCGGCGCCGGCAAGGTAGGCCTCGAAGCGGCGCGGGTGGAGGATGTCGTCGTCGTCGGCAAAAGCGACCCACCAGCTGCAGCTTCCGCCCGGCGGCCGCATTGCGGCTGCAAGACCGCGGCGCAGCGCAGCGGCACCGGAGAGGGCGGCGGCCGCCTCCGTCTCCCCCTCCGCCTCCGCCTCTTCCTTCGCCGCCTCTTCCTCCGCCGCCTCCTCCCCGCCAGCAACGCCTCCGCCACCGTCGACGTTGAGCTCGAGCAGAGGAGCGCCGCCTACGCGCAGCAAGCCCCCGCTACGTGAGAAGAGGGCGAGACGCGGGAAGAGCGCACCCCTCCGGGCCCTCGGCGCCGTCGCTGCCGCCGCTCGCGTTCTCCTCCAGGAGGGGCTCCTCGCCGTCTTCCTCCGCCTCGCCCCGCCTCACGAGCCCCGCCACGTTCTCCTCCAGCACCAGCCCCTCCCCCTCCCCCTCCTCCTCCGCTCCCACATTCTCCTCCAGCACCAGCCCCTCCCCCTCCCCCCCCTCCTCCGCTCCCAAATTCTCCTCGAGCACCAACTCCTCCCCCTTCTCCCCCTCCCCCTCCTCCGCCACCGCCGCCGCCGCCTCGGCGCCGCCCCCGCTGCCGCCCGCCGGCATGTCCGCCGCCCGCACGTCGCCGCCTCTGCGCCTTCTCGCCGCCGCCTCCACCTCCCGCAGCAGTGCCGCGTAGTGCTCGAACTGCGTCCGCCGGCCAGGCTGCTCCACCGCCAGCAAATTGAGGCCGGCCTTCTTGGCGCCAACCTCGCGGCATGCCGCCTGCGACTCGGAGATGGCAGCGGCCACCGCGTCGCGCAGCGCACGCTCGGAGCTCCAGCCAAGCAGCACCAGCCCGCAGCCCCGCTGCGCCACCATCGACGCCAGACTGCGCCGCAGCAGCGCCAGCCGCTGCTCGTTCCCGACGTGAGATGCGACCAGCAGCAGCAGCTTGTGGCCGGGCGAGTCGCCGGTTGGACCCGTAGCCGGCGGGAACGCTTGCTCGGCAGTCGGAGCCAGCGAGTGCACCGCCAGCATCGCATGCATGTGCATGCACTGCTGCGCAGCCGCAAAGCTCCATCCGCCCGCCCCGCGGCGCTGCTTGTCTCGCCCGGCGCGGTAGGCCTCTGCCCAGTAGCCGTCGGCTGCCATCGCCGCACTCACGCCGTTTCCTCGTGGCAGAGGCATCAGCGGGATGGATATGTGCACCTCCAAGCCGCGAGCCTGCACGTCCTGCGGTTCTCGGGCCCGCGCGAGGCACTCCATAAAAATCGAACGGTCTGCTGCCGCCATCTGCGACGTCTGCTGGAGGAGATGCTCAAGCTTGGCGCCTGCGTCGGGCCGCGCGAGCAGAAGCCGCAGCGAGGCCTCTAGCTCGCGCTGTTGCTTCGTCACGGTTCGCGCTGCTGCTGCCCGCATAGCTCCGCGCGCGCGCGAAGACGGTCAGGCGCGTTTTCTTCTACTGGCAGTATTGGTCTGGTGTTTTGATTTCACCTAGGATTTCGCGACGCACTCCGAGGGCCGTAGCAAGAAGGATTGGAGCACTCTGTCAAGTGCACCCGGCTTGGTTGAGGTCCTCAGCGGCGAGACGTATTCGACCCGCCGGAAGGCGGGTTTCATTGAAGTGTCATTCTGCACAGCAGGCCGCCCCCGCGGCTGAGGCCGCCCCGTGACCCACAGCGGCGGCCGCCCCCGCTGCGTCCAGAGACAGTTGAGCTCGCGGTGGTAGCAGTTGTTGGCCTGGAGGTCACAGGCAAGGTCAAAGGAGCCGGGTTCCACATCACACCTCCCGGCTCGAGACACTCGGGCCTCGCAGTACTGGCGCACGAAGCCGAGCGGCGCGAGCTTGGCGTCCATCTCGGCCACATCGGGCGCGCCGCGGCCATGGTGGTCGGCATACATGACATTCGAGTCGTTGGACGGCAAATCCTAAGGTGGGCTGAGATGTTGTGAGGCGCGCGTCTCACACGGGGCCATGACTGGGGCTATCCACCGGCACCACATCTCTGAGGTAGGTTTCCTCCACGCGCATCCTGGTGTGTGTGTGTGTGCGTGCGTGCGTGCGTGCGGTGTGTGTGTGTGTGTGTGTGTGTGTGTGTGTGTGTGTGTGTGTGTGTGTGTGTGTGTGTGTGTGTGTGTGTGTGTGTGTGTGTGTGTGTGTCGGGTGCCTGGATCTCGAGGAATAAGTTGTCCACACGGGCGATTTCCTCTCCCGCCCCCGCGAGGCAAGGCCACTCCACGCCCTGCACGTCCAGCTTGAGGAGCTGCACCCGCGGCAACACCGCAAGCGCCTGCCGAAGCAGCGGCTGCAGCGTCACCACTGGCACCTTCAAGCGCTTCGCAGGCTTACCGACACAGTCACCACCGTGCGCCCACACGCCCGCCTTTGCCGCCAGCAGGCTGTTGCACTCCTGAAGCGGGTGCATAAACATCTCGAGCTCGCCCACCTCTTGGCCAGGCCCGGCGCACGCGCAGGGGATCATCTCGAAGCGGGCCCGGACGCCCTGCCTGCTTGTGCGGCGCTCCATTGCCTGGGTCGCCGGGGGCAGTGGCGGTGACGAGAAAAATGGAGTAGGTGGCGACGGCGTGGCGGGGCAGTAGCGGTGTGAGGGCGGTGATAATAACAAGTGGCACAGAGGGACGCCGGCACACCGCCACGTACTCTTCGGGGCGGCCGCCGAGGTACTGCCGAGGTAAGGGACACCTTGAGGCCAAGATAAGGTAGGCGGCGGGCTGCACGCCTGCACGTGTGGGCGCGAGTCGACCGCTATACGCGTTTGCACGTGTGGCCGCGTATCTTGGCTAAGATACGCGCCGGCACAGAATGACACGTATCAGGCCCCGCCGAGCTCGATGCGCGGCAGCGGGTGAGGGCGGCTATTCTCCCACGAGGGAGGCAGCCAAGGATACACAGTCCCTCGTGTCGCGCGTGTAAGTCCCGGTTGCCGTGCGCGCCAGCGCGTGTGGCCGCGTACCTTAGCTAAGATACGCGCGCACGGGCGTGGGTGGGTAAAAACGGGTCACTTTGCCGGGTTTGCCGTCAGCTACCTGGTACGCCGCGAGAGCGTGAAAGAATTTAAACAAAACAACTCTCTCTCACAGCACACAGGCTAGACAGGTGTGAACTAGACAGGTGAGAATCTGCATCGCCAACGCTAATGGCGACGAGAGCTTCGCAGCATGCCCTCTCGCGCGCCGGCACCGAGCTCTACCTCGACGACCTCGGCAACGCCGTGCCGAATGAGAAGCTGTCGGCTGAGAAACTGTCGGCTGAGGATGCCTGGATCAGCAAGTGCGACCTCGACGCCTTCGCTGCGGACATCAAGGCGCTCGGCAAGACGCTCGCGGCGCAGCAGGGCGACGCGGACGTGAGGCACCTAAACAAGATTGTGTGCTGGCAGCGCGCCTGCACGGCGCTCGGCGTGGCCACGATGGCGATGCCGCTCGGCCCGCTCCCGTTCAACCCGATTGCCGTCTGGTTCCTTTCACTGGGAGTGCTCACGCGCTGGACGATCGTCGCGCACCACGTCTGCCACGGAGGCTTCGACAAGTGCGACACGGGCGGGCGCTACCATCGCTTCACCTTTGGCGTCGGCTCTGTGTACCGGCGGTGCAGCAGTCCCTCCTGAGCTCTTTCCAGGCCGCGGACGCAGTCACACCGCTGTGCTCGCACACTGCAGGTGCGTGGACTGGCTCGACTGGATGCTCGTGGAGGCGTGGAACGTCGAGCACAACCAGCTGCACCACTACTCCCTCGGCGAGGACTCCGACCCCGACCTTGTCGAGCGGAACCTCGACAACCTGCGCCAGATGCCGGCCCTCCTCGCGCCAGTCAAGTACCTCGTCATCGCCTTCCTGACGGTGACTTGGAAGTGGTTCTACTACGCGCCAAACACCTTCAAGGTGCTCTCGCTCAACAGGATGCGCCGCGAGGCGGACCCGCGCCTCGAGAAGCTCTCGACGCAGCTGCAGGAGGACCCATGCGTGGTCGGAGACTGGCGCGCCACCCGCCCCCCGCCTCCTGCGGGCCCTTGGGAAGGGCCTCTCCTCCTCCTCCGCCGCCGCCTCCTCCTCCTCCTCCTCCGCCGCCGCCTCCTCCTCCTCCGGGCGCCTGGGAAGGGCCTCACGCGGCCCCCGTGCGTGGGATCAGGCACTTCCTCCTCGGCCCCTCCTCGCTCTTCTTCAGCAACGTCGAGTTCTTCGTGCGCGTGCTCGGCCCCTTCTTCACCACGCGCTTCCTCCTCCTGCCCGCTGCCGCCGCCGCCGCCGCCGCCGCCCTTGCCGCGGGCGGCGTGCTGCCCGGCGGTGCCGAGCCGCTCGCCGCCGCCCACGCCGCAGCGGCGGCCTCGCTGGTGAACCTGGTCCTCGCCGAGCTTTTGACAAACGCGCACGCCTTCCTCGTCGTCGCGACCAACCATTGCGGCGACGACCTCTACCGGTTCGAGCAGCACGCCGCGCCGCGCTCCCCCTCCTTCTACATGCGGCAGGTGACCTCGTCGGTCAACTTTGCGACCGGCGACGGCCGCGGCGGCCACGGACACGCCGCGGATTGCGTCGACTTTCTGCACGGCTGGCTCAACTACCAGATCGAGCACCACCTCTGGCCCGACCTGTCGATGCTCTCGTACCAAAAGGCGAAGCCGTACCCCTCTCCCGCACCCCGCTGAGACGGAGGAGAGGCTGACCGAGCCCTGGCATTGCGCTCTCAGGCGGCGCCACTCGTCCGCGACCTCTGCGCCAAGCACGGCGTGCCGTATGTGCAGGAGTCGGTCTGGCTTCGACTCGGAAAGACGATCTCCATCATCGCGGGGCGCACATCGATGCGCCGCTATCCGGCCGCATTCAACCGGCCGCAGGACATGGTCGCGTGAGGGCGCGGCTCGCGAGGTGAGTTCTTCCTGGAATTACTCGACGGAGATTTACCGACGCCGAGTGCTGGAGAGGCCCTACCTCAGCCCGAGAATCCGAAATATGCCGCGCGCGAGAAGCAACCGGAGACTCGGAGCGGTTGCAGCGCCTCTGTCCGCATGACGTCGAGTTGACCAGCACTATGTCTGTCTCAACCTGTTGGTTGCCTCATGTGCTGCCCCCACGCCAGACGCCCCCCCGCCTGCTAGCGCATCGCGGCCCACGCATTCCATGATCATATCCTCGACGTGGCTGTTTCGCGACTCGGCTCTCGGGGGATGTACGGTGAATCGTTCTGAAAACGGTTACCAAAACGGAATTTCTTGTGTGGTGGGGGGGGCTGGCACACTCCCAACACACGACACACCGCCCGCGCCAGCAGTCGGCGTCGCTCGAGCTCACGCGTGCTCGGCGCCTTCGTCCGCCGCCGCAGCCTCGATTTGCCTCGCCAAATCGGCCCGCCCCCTGCCCGCGGCGACCTCAGAGGCTGTCCGGCCGTCGTCGTCGCGCAAGGCCGTGTCGACCCCGCTCCGCAAGAGCAGCGACACTGCAAAGGCCTGGCCGTGGCCGGCGGCGGTGTGCAGCGCGGTGGCGTCGGAGGCGTTGGTGGCGTTGACCACCGCGCCGACAGAGAGGAGCCACTCCATCACTCGCACCTCCCCCTTGGCAGCGCACCAGTGCAGCGCGGTGTGCCCGATGCCGCGCGCTGTAGCGTGGACGACGTCGCTGCCCGCCGCAGCGAGGATGGACTCGAGCGCCGGTCGGTCGGCCCTCTTGGCCGCGTCGATCCAGCGAGCGGCCGCGTCTCCGCTCACGCCCGCCCGACACGCCGCGGGCGGCAAGCGCGGCGCAAGCCTGCCGCTGTCCGAGTCCGAGTCCGAGTCCTGCACGGGCCTCGCCGCGCGGGAAGCCTTGTCGCCTCCTCCCTTGCCGCCGCCACCCTGAGCGTCGCCCCCGCCCCTCTGCCCCGTGTCATCGGATACCCCGTGCTTGTCGCCGCCGCCGCCGCCCGCGCGGCCGTGCTCGCCCCCCTCTCCGCCGCGCAGCCGCGCGCTGAGCCGCTCGAGCCCTTGCAGGAGCGCCGCGTTCTGCGGCTCGACCTGCCACGAGCAAGCGACCGCCTCGTAGGCCCCAGCAAGCGTTCTCGGCACGATCTCGGCACGATCTCGGCACGATCTCGGCACGATCTCGGCACGATCTCGGGCCCACCTCCAGGCCCGCCTCGTAGGCGCGCAGGGCGTCGGCATGGCTGCCGAGGAGCTCGAGCGCGGCGGCGCGGCGCGAATGCCCCTTAGGAGGCGACGGTGAGGTGAGGGGTGTCTGGCAGCTGGTGGCTGGAAGGCCTCGGGAGGGCCCGTGGGAGTGTCTCTACAAGGGGGTGTCTTGTAGGGTCTCTGGAAGAGGGTGTCTTGCTCCTCGGAAGGGGGCTCTCGTAGCGCCCGAGGGAGCCGCCGCGGGAGAGGGCCAGGGTCGGGGCGAGGGAGGGGCCTCGCCTTGGCCCACTGCGGCGCAAGCTCGACGCAGCGGTCGGCGTCGGCGAGCGCCTCGCTCGCGCGGCCGAGCGCCGCGAGGGCCGCGCTGCGGTTCGAGTGGAGCACGTGGCTGCGAGGCGCGGGGGCGGAGCGGTGTCGGAGGCTGGGCGAAAGTCGGTCCATCGGGGAGGAGCGGCCGCGGCGGGCAAGTGCGCGCTCGCTGCGGAATCTTGGCAGCCGCACGGGCGCGAGTCAGCCGTGGCGACGGTGCAAGCTGGCCGCGTGGCGCTCGCGCAAGGCACCACCTGCGCGCGTCGAGCCGCAGCGCGACGGAGAAGTGGTGCAGCGCGCCTGGTGAACAATGCGGACTACATTTCGTTAAGAGTCGGAGAAGCGTTGCAGGAGAAGTGGTGCAGCGCGCCGTCATAGTCGCGCGCGCCGAAGCGCTCGTTGCCGTTCGCCTGGGGGGGGGGGTGAGGGCGGGGGCGGGGGCGGCGACGGCAGCGGTCGTGACGAGTGCGGCAGGCGAGCGGAGCGGCGGAGTGGAGTGGGAGTGCAGTGGCCAGGAGAGAGAGAGAGAGAGAGGGAGAGAGAGAGAGAGAGAGAGAGAGTCAGCAAGGAGAAGAGAGGCACGAGGGGGAGAGAGAGAGGCGGCGGGGAGGAGAGAGGCAGCAGCGAGGGCCTCGCCTTGGCGCGCTCGGCCGCCGCCTTCATCCGTGCCGCAGCCTCGGCGTCGTCCGACGAGTCCGAGCCCGAGTCGCTCGCAAGAGGAGGTGGTGGTGGTGGTGGCGGCGGCGGCGGCGTGGCCTCGGGCGGCGGCGCGGCCGTCGGCGGTGGTGCGGCCGCCGGCACGCCCTCGCGTGCCATGAGCTCACGGACCAGTGCCTCCAGCTCGCTCTTCTCGGTGACGCCGGCGGTGGAGACGGCTCCCAGCCGGAGGGCCTCGCGCATCTCGCCCACCCTCCACCCGCCGGCCGTCGCGGCGAGCGCACTTAGCCGGGCACAGAGCGCCGCGCGGCCGGCCTGGGCGGCGAGCACCGCGACTAGGCTGCGATGGCCTCGCTCTTGGGCCACGTCCCCGGGCGTGAAGCCCTCGTCGTCCTTGGCATCCACCTCGGCGCCAGCGGAGAGCAGCCGCTCGGCGGCGACGGCCTGCCCGTTTTGCGACGCCACGTGCAGCGCCGTCGAGCCGGCGTTGTTGCCGAGGTTCGGATCGGCGCCTCGCTCCAGCAGCCAGTCCAGTAGAAGCACGGAGCCCTTGGCGGCCGCCCAGTGCAAGGCGGTGTGACCGATGAAGCCGAGCGAACAGCCCTTGCCCCGGTAGGAGAGGACTTCGGGGTGCGCTGCCAGGATCGCCTGCATCGCCGGCTGGTCGCCGCGCCGCGCCGCCTCGAGCCAGTCCCGCCCGTGGGGCAGCATCGGCTCGTCGTTGGCGTTGGGCTGCGGCATGATGTGTTTCGCGCCGAACTGCCACCAAGTGGTGGTGTATTTCTTTTTTGCTTACATCTGATGAAATTCTGCAAAAACCTGGCCGGCCCCTGCCCTGCCCCTACCTACCTACCTACCTACCTACCCTACTCTTATGGGAAACTAAAAAAGAAATCATCGGACGGGTTAAGGTGGGGTACTATACCAACTGAAGTGATGGTTGGTGGTACTCTCCTGCAACCACAGTCCTTCCTGTGACATGGCAGGCCACTCTCAGGCCCTACAAAGCATCAGATCACCCACTTGGGGAGGGTTGACATCGTGATTTCCGCGAAAATTTTCTTTTGAGCTTAGCCTTCGATGTTAGGAAACAAAGCAAGGCGGACATGGCATATCGCTCTCGGGCCCACAGACATCCCGCACACCCGCCGCCACCCGCGCGCGCCCCGCCCCACCCCGGCCGGGAGAAAGGGGAGTGACAGTGCGGGAAGGAAAGCCCGGGTATGTTGAGTCCTGGCTCAACAACGGTCAACGCAGGTTAATTAAGAACGGGGGTGGTCCGGCTCACAAGTCCGGCTCACGCGCCCCGAGCTCACCATCTACCGCACTGAACGCTTCCGCCCCCTCGCTCCCAACCCATCCACCCCGCCCCGGGCCGCGCCGCGCGATCTCGGGCGATCTTTTTCTTTTTCTGGTGTGAAAATTCCAGCGTGAATAGAGGGAAAAACCTGACGGGAGGTCCCAGACCTACCCTACCTACCCCGTCATGATGTACGGCCAAGCAAAAAGAACACACACCTGCCAAGAAGAACATTATGCAGTTTGTGTGTGTGTGTGTGTGTGTGTGTGTGTGTGTGTTGTGTGTGTGTGTGAGAGAGAGAGATTTTAGAAGTCAGCTGGTCGGCCGCCAAGTGGGCCTCCGGGCCTGCTGCGGCGGCGCGGCCGATTGAGGCCGGGCTCGGCCCGGCCCGCGACGGCTGGCCGCCGACGAGCGCGCTCGCGCTGCTCGTCAAAATGGCGGCGGTGGCGATTGCGGCGACGGTCGTTGAGTCGTACAGCGCTCAGGCGTCTGTCATCTGTCGTCTGTCGTCGCATTTCGCACACGCGCGCGCCGCGCGACCCGCGTCGCTCCGCGAGGGCATGAGCCTTCCGCGATTCGATCCCGCAGCCAAAAGCTGCTCGCTCGAACCGCGGCCGACTCTACCATCGCGGCCGCAGCTGTTGAGCTCTTCAGAAGACACTGGTGCCTCATATGCTGCCTCCCTGCGGATGCTGCCGGCGAGCCTGGCGGTCCGCTGTACTACAAGGAAGTGCTGACTCGATTCTACCTCGAATTCTTCTACCCCCACGACTCGGAACGCGAATGTGACAGGACCATCGGGTCCTTCAGCCACCAAAGTGAGATCACCCGAGAGCAGCTGAGCCTGCCTCTGGCCTCGCCTCCCTCTCCTTCAGGCATTCGTGGCATCCTATGGGTCGTCCAGAGTATCGACCTCTGGCGAGTCAGCCAGTCACTTGATGACACCATGAAGTACAGCGATCGCCATCTCGCTGGCCTCTCCGCAGGCCCCCCCGACCGCGTCGAACTCATCGGCGCGGGCTCTCTCGGCTACGGGACCGGCCCCAGCTTCGGCTGAGGGCTGACAAGCTGCCGAGCCCAAATCACTGTGAGAGTCGTGATT